AGGCCCCGGCCTCCCTCTGGGGAGCCCCTCGGGCACCCTCCGTGAAGGGGACGGGGGATCCTTGCCGTGGGGAGCCCCTCAGACACCCCTTGTGAAGGGCATGGGGGGTCATTGCTGTGGGGAGCCCCTCAGGTACACCTCCCCATCTCCCCCCATGGAAGGTGTGGGGGGGAACTGCTATGAGCAGCCCTCAGGCACATCCCCGAAGGGCGGACTATTGTGGGGAGCCCCACAGGCACCTCTTCCTCCCCAAAAATAGGGTATTGGGGAAGCCTCTCGGTCAGCAGCCCCTCACCACCCTAAAGCAGCTACCGGGGGGGTCCTCACTGTGGGGAGCCCCTCAGTCCCTGTCCCCCCACAAAGGGAGGGGGCCGGGGCCCTGGTGATGGGGGTCTCGTGTCCCAGGAGGCTGGCGTCGAGCCCCCAGGTCCGTCCCGTCTCCCCGAGACAGACGGGGACGCCGCGAGGCTGGGCCAGGCCGTGCTGGCAGGGCACCGGGGACGGACGGTGCTGAACATACTGCATGGGTAAAAATAGACCTTTGGTGTTCAGAGCCATCTGTCACCTGCCCCACTAACCGTCAGACCAACACGTGGCCGTGGAGGTTCTGCCTTTCCCTGAAGTTTCTTGGGATGCTTTCTTTCCCCTGCCCTCGCTGGGTGGTTAAATATGCTGTCTTCCCCCTTCCGCCGTCCCTGAATCTGTGTCCCTTTGCCACGGGGCACATCCCTAGGGCGGCCACCACTTCTCAGAGAGAAGTGCGCTGGTTTATATCCGCCCAGGTGACAGCTGTGGCACCACCAGACCTGGTGGGTCATGAATGCTGTGGTTAAACTCCAGAACAGCCCTCCTGTGCTTTGCTTTCTCGCATCTCTTTCGATTTCCTCCCCCAGCTTTCTCCCATCACTGATTCACTCTTCCTCAAACTAACCAACCCTCGTACTCAGCTGCGACAAAAGCTCAGGGCATTGTTTTTCCATCTGTTGTTGCTCTTAATTGGATTTTCTTTTAAATGCTATCTGCCCGATTTATTTATGGAGGGGGAGAAAAGTGTAATAGTGCATCTCTTTTTAGCAGTACTTAGTTAGACTTGTCTTTACAAAACATATTTATGTTCTGGATTAGCAAGTGACTCCCTCTACACTTGCTCTACATTCCTCTACAGCACCCGCAGGAAGGGCACCTTTGGTAAAGCCTGGTTTTGGGGTAATCTGTTTCAGACAAAAATATACGGTCTGCAAATTATTTTCCCTATGGTTACAGTGATTTGAGCCTAATGGTTAGAGCCTGATTGTGGCTTTCAGGTTGGACCAACCCAACGGGACGCGTAGTACTGCTTCAACAGTAAGGGAGTTCTCCTTCGTTGGGAAGTCTTGAAGAACTGAGCGGGTTTTTTACCGTTGTCTTTTCTTAATCCTTTCAGACAGTGTTTGTTGGAAAGAACAAGCCGCAGAAAGATCCCCTGAGCTCCTTCCGCTGGCAGGGCTTCAAGCTGGAAGAATATCTCATTGGCCAACCCATCGGGAAGGGCTGCAGTGCCGCTGTGTACGAAGCAGCTATTCCTTTCTCTTGCGATCGTCAGGGGCGTGCGGAGAGCAGCTGCCTCGCAGGGCAGGGGCCAGCCGTGCAGCGGGATCGTGGCTCGGCTTCACAGGCGGCTGGGGAGGAGCCCATAGAGAAGCACCAACCGAAAGAGGCTTTTCCGTTAGCTATCAAAATGATGTGGAACATTTCGGTAAGGAGTCGGTTCTTAATCTCCTCTGTCACTGGGAAAGTCTGGCTGAAATGTTTAACGCTTACGTGTTGAAAGTGCTGATTATGTAGCGCACCATGAGCGCGTCAAAACGAAGTTGTTGATATGTGACATTGGAGATGTCAATTGCTAGCGAGCGGTCCCAGAGCAAGGTAGTTAGCATTCATCATTCCTCTGGAATCGGCATTGAGAGCTGCTGGTGGTGGAGTTGTTGGTTATGGAGGTGACGTTTCTGGAAGAAAAGCTTTTCCGAAGCTGGCTGTCATGGCAAGGCGTAAGAAATGGAAAGCCACTGCTGCCAGTGCTTTAGGAATCGGTGTCCTTGTCGGCGTCAGGGTAGAAATAGATTTTCTTCTGCGAAGTGCGGCCGAGGTGCAAGTCAGTGTCACAGGGGTGGGGCGGTAACCTGCGTGCTAGGTCCCCTTGCCGTGAAGTGAACGGGCAAGATCTGCACTAGTGTTTCCCAGCCCGGGTGACTCTGATGATCCAACCCCTCAATGTGAGTATTCCACATTTAAAAAAATCCACGTGTCTTTTCCCATTGAGGAGTTTTTGTGGCACTTGATGTGACAAGCGGATATCCTAAGAGAGTCTTCCAAAATGCTAACATCTGAAACCCCCTGGGCTCCAGAAATACCCTGGCATTTAGCTGTGGGCTTTTCCAGTCAGGTTTTGAAGTTGAAAGTGAGTGTTAACGTATAGCTCAGAGCGCTAACAGTCGAGGATGCATTTGAAGAGACAAATGGATTTGTTTCTGCAAGTAAAGGGCTTGCCACGTCCCTTGGTAAATTCTTTAAGTAGTTAATTGCCTTCCCCGACTTTCAAAGTAGAGAAGGGAGTCCCTTTGATCTAGTCTCAGTTGCTCTAACTCCAGATACAGCGCCAGCATCAGGATTATCTGCTTTCAGCCTGTATTGAGGCTGGGTGATTTTGGAGCTTAAATCAACGTGGTGTGTAATTGCTGTCGCAGGCTGGTTCGTCGAGTGAAGCCATCCTCGATGCTATGGGCCGAGAGCTTGTTCCAGCCACGGGGGTTGCCTTAGCCGGAGAATACGGAGCTGTCTCTGGCCACAGGTACAGTCACGACGGAAATGGCGGCAGTTCTCAAATGGTGACGCGCTAATTTTATCCATCAATTAATTTCGCAGCACATCTGTACTGTTACGAAGACGGCCAGAGGTTTCTATAATAGTTCCTGAAAGTCGATAAAAACGAAGCCTTGAGATTATTAATGGCTCAGGAGGCGTGTACGTATGTTTTGTCTAGACGACGGTGCCTTCAGAAGCGCCGCACGCCTCAGACGTCACGCAGGGACGGGCTGCTGGCAGCCTTGGGGGTTTTTCTCCGGTGTGCTTTTCTCCAGCCCGGTTAGGAAACCGCACAGCCATACCGCTGTTCAAATAGTGAACTTGTTTACTCCGAGGAGCAGACTGTGGCACGGCTCGTTGGCGTGCGGGAAATACCTACAGCTAAACTGTACCGGCTTGGGTGGCGTAGTCCAGAAGGGTGTCGGAAGGGTACGCCAATAATTGGGGACCAGCCGGGGGTCCTGCCAGCGGTCTGATGGCTGACTGTGGCCAGGCACTTCTGTGCCCCGTGTCTTAGTTTCCCCATGTGTAAAATGCTTTGATATCTGCAGATATTCTTAAAGGCTAGGAGGAGCCGATTAAAAATCATTTAAATGTGTGTCGCGGTGCTTTTTAATTACAGAAATATACGCCTACAATTGGTAACAATTTGACTGTATTAAACATCAAACAATTTGACTGTAATACAGTTTGACTGTATTATTTTAGAACTGGTTTGGTTGTAAAATGGGTGCTGGGCAGGGAGGTGGAAACTGTTCTAGTGCGGGGAAACTGGTGAGAAAGAAAATGGAAAATGACGCGGTTCCCACTCTTTCACCCGCGTGAGAAGTGAGCACGCAGCATGAAGGTGGAAAACTGCACGGAAACTTTTAAATTATCTCGAGTTAGCTATCTTTTTGTTAAAAAATGTGTCTTTTTGTTCGATTTGAAACAATGGAGTCCACAGTCCAGATTGTCTGATTTAAATTTCAAATACATCTCAGCTGCCAATACAAATGAATAATGAATGCTGTGTGGTACGTCACTAGCTGAGAATGCAACAGAGCAGCCGAAGGGATATTTGACATTCAGGGGATGAGAGGGAAGAGAGATCTGGTTTGCAGATACAGATAGGTAACCTGCCTTTCATTGTACTGAGCGCTTCCTGCCTGTGCCATAAAATAGAGGGTCTAAATCGATATGCCTAGTGTGAAGTTGACCTTTATTTTATGTCTAACAAAGTAATTGCGTTTGGCTTTTTTCCTCTAAAGCTGCTGTTGTAGTTCTTTTTGAACCGAGAAGCAGCCTGTGACTCGCTCTGCCGCTGTTAGCAGCATGGAAGGGCTAGTAGGGTTTGAATAAAATTAAAGGCTGCATGTTAAGTGTAAGGGTTTCCAGCAAAGCTTTGTTTGCAGCGCAGGTAAAGCACCAGTATTTCCTGTTCGGCCATCGTATATAGGGAAATCCAGTTACAACGCAGTCCTTCTGGCAGCCACAGGTAAAGTCTTGGTCTGTGTACACTCCGCTGGTGTATCAGCAGACGGCACTGCCTTGATGATGGTTCAGGACGCGCCAGGGTAGATTTCGAACTCCAGAGAAAGTGCTGGCACCCGCCCGCTGCCGCGGTGGGTCTGCTCAGGCTGTGGGCGCTTTGCATCAATGTGGGAAGCGCTGGGCTGAGGCGCCGGTTAGGAAATTGGCCGTGAGGGCAGGGAGGTTGCCGTCACTGTTCTTTCTTACCGAATGGTTTCCACGATGTGAACGTTTGGATATTTGCTTAATGTGCAGCCCTGTAATCTGTACTGGGCCGCCGTAATGCTCGCTCTAGTAAGGTTTTTGCTGCAGAATAAACATGTTTGCACACTGCTTTGGAACCCTTTTTGGGGGAGGACGGGCCACATTAATGAAAAGTAATTCCAGAAATAACAGACATGTGTGTGATAAATCAGAACTGACCAGGAGATTGACGTAATCTGTGGTATCTATACCTTTGCGCAGAAAACCTGTCCTTGGGAGGAAGAAGTTGCAACCTCATCCGAATATAATCCAAGTGATCCGAGCGTTCACGTCCTCAGTCCCTTTGCTGCCCGGAGCCTTCGCAGACTATCCTGATGTTCTTCCTTTAAGCCTGAATCCCAGAGGGATCGGTCACAGCCGCACGCTCTTCTTGGTGATGAAGAAGTAGGTAGAGAGAAGCTTGTTAACGCGTCTCGGGCTTTTCATGAGCCTGCCCAGCGGGGCTGTGTATTCTGCTGCTACACAGGTCCTTGCAAAGATTTGGCCTGAGCTGCTGCCAAAAAGCAGAGTACGCTCTTGGAAACGCCTCCTAAGACCTGTTCCAAGTCCTTGAGATTTTAACTCTAGTTTGACAACGAAGACAAGCTGTTCTTTTTAATAATTACCCAAATTAAAGTGAGAAATGTGGAGCTTGTCCCCATTTGTCTGCCCTTCTAAGTCTGAACTTCACCCCTAGTCTGAACACGCCGCTAGAGATGGAGTAGAATCGGTAATGAGATTTATTAGTGCTCGGCATCTCTGGCTTTCTCGGTGGGGTTTTGGTTTTGAATGGGTATTGCTGTGGCACTGACATAAAAGCACCTCCTGTTTCCCACTCTTTTGTCCTGCCTGCGTCTGGAGAAGTGCTCTGTCCTCTTTGTGTTTCAAGAATCCGTTCTTTCTCCTGATTAGCGCATCTCCTCATTTTGCTCATACAATCTGCATTATTAATCTGCCTCCTCTTTCAAGCAAAATATAACACCAGTACATAAAAACCTGTAAGAATGACCACTGAATACCTGGAGCCCCTCCCCATGCTGTTTAAGAGGCTTCTTTTATTCGCAGTTGTTGAACTCGGGCAAAAGCACTGAAAATTCAGTGGTGGGTGGTGTTGCAAAACAGAGGATTTGAGAACAGCAGACAGGGGAGCGGTGTCAGGTTGAGGCTGGGCGGTGGGAAGGCGTCACAGTGGTCAGGAAGAATTCGGCACATACAAGTGTGCAGTATCCCCAGCCAGCCAGCACTGAGGTTGAACCGCAAGCGATAAGCTTCCAGGATGCTAATTCTGAGGTTTTCCTTGTTCTGACTAGTTATCCGTGCACCCTGCGCCAGTACCTGAGGGAGAGCAGTCCAGATGTTTGTCTCTCCACGATGATGATTTTACAGCTTTTGGAAGGCGTGGACCATCTTGTTCGACACGGAATAGCACACAGAGACCTGAAGTCTGACAACATCCTGGTTGAATTTGATTCTGGTATGTGGATCGCTGAGTATAAACGCCAATTAAGTCACGCACAGAAGCGATGCAGTTGAGTAGGTATGCGGGGAAGTCCCACCCAGCCGTGCGTTTGGGGGAAAAATGAGCATCGAACCCTTTGAAGAATCTCAGGTTTAGTTTTTAGCTTACCACTTGCTGTCACTGCAGCACTGGGGAAGTCATTTATCCTGTCTGGGCCTCTGGTTTTGAATCATTAAAACGGACTTGAAAGGAGCGTTGCGCTGCAGTCGGATGGAGAGACGCAGAGTATTGCTAAGGTGATGTGTTGCACAAGCACAGCGAATGTTGGCTGGAGCAGATGGCATATAATAATGCCGTACTGATGAGGCTGGAGGTGCCTTTGCTTCAGGCTCTCGGCTCTGTCATCTCTCACTAGCCAAATAGCACAGGGCTGTTCTTAAAATCCCACCTCACGGTCAGGTTAATAGTGCTGCACCCTGGGATGATGAAACATCGGTTGGACGGCAAGGGAACCGACAGTGTTAAAGCCAAAAGCAGCGTTTTCATCGTCTTGTTCTCCTGTCAGCCTCTCTAACTGGGATTTTAATTACCCGAGTTCTTTTTCAGCGTGATTGAGATTCGAATGGGCAGGAAACAATAGCAGGCAGCCAGATCTGTGTAATTAAAGGTCTTGGTACGGCAGCCGTGGAAGGTTTTCAGTGATACTAATGCCATCCTTCTTTTCTTGAAGGAAAAGCTGCTCTGGAGCTATGCTGAATGCGGTTAGGAATGATCTAAAGCATCAATTCTTCTGTATTGGAGTCTGGAGAAGGAATGATTCTACTTTGCAATGTTTGACTTGTCATCAGGACAAGAACTATTAACTAACACAAAGTTTCTCCAGCCTTTTGCTATAGCTAAGTATATATCTGTATGTCGATAGCTTTTGCTATAGATAAAACCAAAGGGAAACAAATGAATCTATTCCTCCATTGTGGATGAGTCTCTAACCTTACGTGTCTTCAATTTTATGGTATCTGTGACGTTTTGTGAGACGCACGTTCCATGGGGAGCAGTAATATCCTCTAAAGAGGAAATGGAATAACAAGCTTTGTTTTAATAAACCCGGTATTTCACCTAATAATACAGAGGAGAAGCAGGAAAACAGCGTGTGGTTGTGCTGATTCTTGGGGGTTTTGAGATTGTTCCTGAAGACTGTCTCTGGTGTCCGTGTGATGTGGTGTCTAAGACAGCCGGGTACTCCCGAACTGAACGCTAACTGCTAGCCCCGTGTCTTTCGCAGCTGGCTGCCCCTGGCTGGTGATCACGGACTTCGGTTGCTGTTTGGCAGATGAAAACGTCGGCTTGAGACTGCCTTTCACCAGCTCTTATGTGGATCGGGGCGGCAACGGCTGTCTTATGGCACCTGAGGTAAATCCCCCTGTAGTAATGGTTTGCGTTGCTGGTTGTCTGCTTGTCCTGCTGTCGGAACTAAAAGTTTCAGCCCCAGCTGCGGTGCAGGCTGTGATAGGAACTTGAAAAAGGGTGGGATTAGGTCTAGAAGCGGTGGAGGGCATGCGTGCGCATCACTTTGCTGTGGTTTGTCCCTGAGCACACACCAATACTTGCTTATGTGGTCTCTGCTGGTGTGTGTTCACAGTAATACCTGCTGAAAGCCTCTGCGATCAGATCGATCGTTTTCAACCCGTTCCTGCTTATTGACATAACTCGGTCATGCAAGACAGTACCCGTAGCTGGTTACTGCGTAACTAATCTCACCCTACGCTCTGTCATGGAGAGCTATGTCCCGTAAAGCGGTGTAGGAGGTCCACGGTCCTAACCTGAGTTATGTTTGCTAAACATCTCTGCATGAATAAAAAAAGTCCTCTTCGGACCTGTGCTGAGCAGTTGTCGAACAGACACCTTGAGCTCTAAAGGGTGAAACGTAATCAGTTGGTGTTATGAGGCAGAATTGACTTTTCCCACAAAAAGCTTGCTCTTCAGTCTTTTCTCGGGCCCCTCTCTATGTAGCTATTAAAGAAGTTTATGCAGCAGTCCTTGTGTTGCGATGGTAGTTTTTGGATGAAGTTCAAGGTGGTTGTGAAATTATTTACAGTTCCTTTTTATTTCTCTGATGATAACAGTAATAAAAGCGAAGTCACCCTTAACTGTCTGCTTAACCTTGCCTTGCATTGCTTAAGTGCCGGTGCAGTAGTGGTTGGTCATCTGCATTGTCTCCCGTCTACCTAAAATCCCGGAGTGAAATAGCTCTCGGGACTCTCTGAATGCTGGTCAGAGGCAACGACTAAAGCCTAGGCACAATGACCAAACTCCTCCCAGTGTCCTGGTGAGCCGAGCAGTGCCGAGGGCTTAAAGCATGCCAATAGGGAATATTTACATCAGAGATTTAGACGAAACCTAGCTTTGGTTTCAGTCTTTCTGTTTATGACAGCAGAAATACTGACTTGACCCTTGAAAATTAGTTTTAGCACAGAGCCCACCCTAGAGCTGTTTATCTGAACGTCCCCATCTCTGTGGCAGGTGATCACAGCGTCACCTGGTCCGGGGACGGTGATCAACTACAGTAAAGCCGATGCTTGGGCTGTCGGAGCGATCGCCTATGAAATCCTTGGCCTGGCCAATCCTTTCTACGGCCACGGGGACGCGACTCTGGAAAGCAGAAGTTACCGTGAAGACCAGCTGCCGAGCCTGCCCGATCACGTGCCCCTTGAGGTGAAGGAAGTGATAAAGATGCTACTTCACAGGGATCCCAACAAGGTAGGAAACTGTTGTCTTGAAGAAGTCGTCTAACCGGTCTTTGGGAGCATTGTTTGTAGATCGTTTCTCCCTGGAGGGCTCTGGGTGCAGGACTGCAATCCAGATATCATAGCAGTCTAGATAACGATCAAAGACAAACAAAAGGTCTTTGCTGAAGTACAGTGTGGCACGGAATAGTTTCAGGGATTTCAGTGGGTGTTTGTGTCAGGGACTGGACCTTGAATTGGGGGGTTTACGTGCAGTTGCCTGATAATAAATAGTCACAAAGAGCTTTTTAATTCACAGGGACTGTGTGGTGCCTTAGAGGAGGCCTGGGGGACTTTAGGCAGTGTAGATGCTACGTGCTGGCGATGAGACGTGAGTGCAGCAGGATCAGCTAATCTTCCTTCTCCCTCCTTTTGCAGAGATTGTCTGCTAGAGTTGCTGCTAACGTGCTTCACCTAAGCCTCTGGGGTGAAAGCGTTCTAGCATCCAAGACCCTGAAACCCGACCAGATGATCGCCTGGCTTCTCTGCCAGTCTGCGGCCGCTTTGCTCATGGATGGACTGGTGGATAAAAGCCGGGTAGAAACCAAAATGAAGATGTGCTTTTTGGCAAACCTTGAGTATGAAGACCTCTGGGCAGCAATATTCCTGTTGCTGGCCTGGAGGAGCCGGTCTGGGTGAAGAGTACCATCTGGGACACGACCGTGCGATAGATAAACGGCACGTTCTAAAGGCACATAGGAATCTGTCTTTTCTGTCTGCCTGGAATACTGTAGTGCTTTAGGGAGCAAAACTGCAGGCCTGTGTTTAAGAGGTTGAGTTTACCTCTAGCAAGTGTTAGTACACACTGCTTTTCTCTCCCTGCTAGAGGAAATGTCCTTGCTTCGTTACTCTCTTGGTGAGGGTTTGGGGACCTTGCAGGTGTCCTGAGGTACGTGGTTGGTTTTGCTCACATTTGGGAATTCGTAATTGACTTCTAAGTTGTGTGTTGAATGAAGCAAGTTCCCTTTCAGAAGGCGGGGTGTGTGGGAGGAGGCATTGTCTAGCTGCTCTTTACACGGAAGCATCACGGATTTAAACAATACACCGAGAAAGCTGAGCTGACAAAGGGACGTGTCATCTTTCTTTTCTTAGGGAAACCGGTGGTGGTCTTAAGATGATATTCCTCTGCAGCCACAGACGTATCTTGCTATAAAATGACCGCCTGAAAGCCTCCTAGTGAGGTGCTGACTGGTAAGGTGAGCGTCAGGAGCTGCTCGCTTCTTACGATAATGCACCATTACATATCTAGCTAGTTACAGCGCAAGTACAATGAACCCCAAACCCACTTACATTTGTTTCTTGCCTGTTGTATTTGTGCAGTGACTGTTGCCTCAGAGTCCAAGGCCGAGTCAAACTGTGTCCAGTTAGGGATAATACAGCAAACGAAACAGGGCTGAGCAGCAGCGCCTGCTTAAAGAGTTTAGTGTGATGCTCTTCTGTTTTACCTACCTGTTTTTTCTGTTTGACAATGAAGTAACGTCCTTTGGGCGGGGAGGACAGGAGACATCGATGTTTGAACAACAGTCATGTTTATGAAAACATCATCCGATTTCACGTCTGTAATTGTGTTTAGAAGAACTTGGGGAGAAAGTTATTTATGCTTGTTGCACAATAAATTGAAGATTAAGCTCTGCTGCTGAGTGGGTTCTCCAAATCTAGTTCATCTCCGTCCATGGGATCCGGGCTTTAGGCTGTGGAGGCCTAGGGGGCAATGTAGCCCTGGTTCAGTGGTGTCTTAAAAGATCATTCGGCTCTTTCCAGCGCCGTCTCCGGAACATGTTATTTTATTCCACCAAGTGGAGTTTCCCGGAGAGGAACGGACCTTGCCTCGTGAACGTGCCCGTTTCGTACTCTCCTGACCGGTAAATCACTGGCTGCTCCTCCAATTTCCAGGTCGATGACATCGTGTGTCGAGTGGCTGATATCCCTGAGCAAATCATCACGCAGTAATGTGCCATCAAGGTCTCGCACGCTGAAACGGCCTCTAGTTCAGCAACAGTGCAAAACTACCTACCAGGGAACGGCCCTGCTCATTGCCTGTGAACACAGCACGCTGCCGGGGCTGTAAAGAAGGCTCAGCAGAGAGCACAGAGCCTGGCAAATCACAGAAAATGAGCTCTTTGGGCAAAAAGTTGCAGAAAAAGAACTTTTTAGTCTTGGTCTGACCCTAACCGAAGCAGCTGCTGGTTTTTTTTCTTAGATGCTGAGTTCTTGCAGCGCATTTTTAGCTGGGATGGCTGCCTTGAATTTGTGTGCGCGCCCTCCTGTGAGCTCTGTGCCCCTGTATCTAGCAGCGGGGCCGGTTCCCCGGACGCTGTCTCTGGAGCTTTCTGAAGAGTAAATTCTGTTGCTTTTTTGGTAGATGTCCGCTCTGACCTCCTTCTGTTGTTCTGCTGTTTCTCTGAGCCAGCAAGAGCTGGTTAGCACAGCAAGGCGCAGCTCCGCTTGTTGACATGCCGAGTCTTTCCTTGTCCCTGCAGTACCGGGCGTGGAATGCACGCATACTCCATGTCCAAACCAACTGCGTGGAGCAGGCTTTCTGCTGTGAACATACTCTCTTGTTTTTTCCCCTTGATTTTCCTCCCAGATCCAACTGTTACACGAGTAGGGAGCAGAAATAGGAGCCGGAGCCATCCCATTTCCAGCGTGTCGTTATTAGGCCAACCAGGGTTCGATCTGTGCTGGTTAACTCCAGACATGGGAAACTTGCTTCTCCTGGAAATCATCTCGTTTCATCTCTCTGTCCTCAAAAATGGCCTAAAACGCTTGTCCCGCAGCACCGCCTCTGGTTCTTAAATCCCTATTATTGCTTCTCCTTTGCTTGCATTTTGTCCGTCTACGGTTCTGCTGAGGTTAGACTTTTTTTTTTTGGTTCTCTTTCACTGCCTGCCTTTCGTTAATGAGACATTTTTACGATTCTTTAGCGTTCCGGGTGCTTTTGTAAAGTGCAGCTTAAAAGTATATGCTGTTAATGCAACAAATGCTGCCCTTCTGCAAATGCCTGAGGGGAGCAAAACTGGACCGTTTCTCAGCGCGTCCCTCTCGCCCTGCCGTGCTAATCCCTAGGCAGGCTCTTGTTGGAGATGCTCGAGCTGAAGCCCCTTGCTGCCGCGTTTGTTCCCGGTGTTTGCCGGGAAGCAGACCGTGCCGTGGGGAAAGGGGGCGGCCGGGAGGGGGAACGCGAGGCCCGAGCCAAATCTCTGCCCTTCCCCGAGCAGCGGGATGTCCGGCCGCACTTTGAACCCCGGGGAGGGCGGCGGGAGGGATGGTGGAGGCTGCAAGCTCTCTGCCCAGCTGCGGCACTCCGGCCGAGACGGGACAGCCTCCGCGGCGCCCCTTGTGCGGCTCAGTGTGGGGCAGAGGGTGGGAGCCTGTGGGACAGGATGAGGCGCCTGCTCGGGGCTGGCTGCAGCCAGCTGCTGCCCCGGGAAGCCGGGCTCTGTGCTCGCAAACTGTCTGCGGCTGCTGTGGCTCCCCCCCCCCCCCCCCCGCCCCTCTCTGCCGGCGGCCGCCGGCGGCTCGTCTCAGGTTCGCCCGCGAG